AAGGAGATTGCTGCAGCTTCAGTGGCGTTGTCAGAACCCTTGAACAATGGAACAACAATGAGATATTGTCTTTCACCCAGCTGGATGTCTGCTTCCCAGGGCTGGACATTTGGGTTAGTGATTGAGACAACTGCGGCCTCCTCATTGGAGTATCGGGTTTGACTCCACGTTCCCGCCACTGCAGGTGGTGGCAGGCAGCAGTGATGGCTCAAGAGCCTGGGTCCCTTCCACCTACAAGGGTGACCTGATCATGAGACTGGCTCCTGGTTTGGCTCTACCTTAGCCTTGGCTGTTGCAGGCATTTGTCGACCGAATCAGAGGGTAGTAGTTTTCTGTCCTTCAAATAAATATAAAAGAATAAAAATTGTGCACTTTCTGCAATCAGTCCATTCCCTGGGCAAGAACACCTATGAAATTGTGTCAAATACTCAGAGGGGCCATATGTGAGGATACTGTCTTAGTATGCTCACCTGGATGTTTGGCAGACACTGCGTGCTCATTTATGTTTTTCTTCTCATTGTCCCCTTTCCCCCTCTTCTTGCCTGGAAAGTTGAGTCCACTCCCTTCAGGACTCTATCTGAGAGTCCCAGCAGAGGTTAAAGCAATGTGAGTCCCACGAGACCAAAGGCAGGCAGGAGTGGGTGGAGTGAGGCCACAGTGAGTTCAGGACCAGGGACAGCACGACTCTGCCATGGGCAAGTTACTGCAGCCTGTGACACTGGGTTTCCAGAATCTCGTACTGGCTTTCCTGTGAGAGCACAGTTTTCCCCATGAGTCTTTCTCCTTAATATGAGCACGCCGCATAGTAACTATCAACCACTTTCCCCCCTCTTTTAAACATTTATTTATTTTTATTGGAAAGGTAGATTTACAGAGAGAAGGAGAGGCAGAGAGAATTGTCCATCTGCTGGTTCACTCCTCAAATGTCCACAGTGATTGGAACTCAGCCCATCCAAAGCCAGGAGCCAGGAGCCAGGATCTAGGAGCCAGGAGCCAAGAGCTTCCTCCAGGTCTCCCATGCGTTTGCAGGATCCCAAGGCTTTGGGCCATACTCAGCTGCTTTCCTAAGCCACAAGCAGGGAGCTAAATGGGAGGTGGAGCGGCTGGCACACAAACCAGTGTCCATATGGGATCCTGACACGTTCAGTGGGAGGATTAGCCAATTGAGCCATTGCACTGCCCCTTCTCCCCTTTTTAAGATTTATACCAACTGTTCTTAAATTAGTTTCTGCTCTAGTATGTTATAGAACCAAAGTCCACTTCTGGTTAATATTGTTCCCTTGAGTCCTTGCTCTAGAATGGCTTTCTTGATAACATGATATAAGTTCCCACCCTGTATTAGTGATTAGTTGAAAAATAAGCTAATATGGATAGCATTTTCTCAGTCTGGTGACTCTCCGGAGTCTGGGCTGTGGCTGTGCTTGCTTCCTTCTCTCTTTATATCAGTCCCCTCTGCTCTTGTGAGTGTGTGGACCCCAGTTATCCCTGCATGATACCCTCACACCATTGCTTGAGCAATGGACACGAGTACAGGATGCATTGCCAATGTGAGCCAGTCTCAGGACTATCGGACACATTCCCTTGGGAGGAGATTTCTTGTTCCGTGAGAGAAGGATGAGCAGTCAGGATGAGAACTAGCTCCTTGATACAGGATATCCTTAGTGCAAGTGGCAGCCTAAGCTGGGTTTCTACTGCAGCGAACTACCGTAGACCGGGTCTCTAGCACTAACAAACTGATAAGACAAATTCTGATCCATGGTAGTAAATGATCATTGTGTACTCATCATAATCCAGACTGGCAGTGATGGAGCTTGGCAGAGTTGGTTTGTGGCATGACATAAAGCAAAATGGGCCTGTACAGCATAGGTATAGAAGGGACCACCCCTGGAATGGTACAGTATCCTGGTTTGGACAAAAGATGGGGAGAGGAGAAGGGCAGACAGACTTTGGACAAATCATTCCTCAACCATTTTTCCAAGGGTAAAGAGATCACATTTGTTAATTGGTTAGTTAATTTTGGCTATAGATATTGCAATGGTGAACATTTGCTTTTATGTTGCTTTGGACATCTGTTTAATTCATTCCTTGGGATATGTTTCCAGGAAAATGGGTGCAGGACAGGCATTCAAAAAATTTCTCTGTGACACTTCCCAATGATCTTGTTTTAAAGAAACTAAGTATTATTTCTGGCTCAGAAACATAACAGCACAATGATGGGCCCCTGGTTTGCTGAGGAAATCATTATGGTGGATGGGTGAAGCAACCGGAAAACGTGTTTGCTGGGCAGCCTTGCAGAGGTGCTGGTGCAGCCTCTGGTTCAGTTATCTGTCCTTTGCTGCCCTCTTCTGGCAGATGCTCTCATCAACTTGTGGAATTCATTAATTGCAGGACAGACAAGGATGCTCTCAGGTCCCTGTCAGGACAGTTGTGTCCGGTGAGATGAGGGAGGTGGAAAGGGCCCTGCGAGAGAGAAGGCTTGAGGAAGGGCAGGGACCTGTTACTCAGGATCCCAGCGTAGCTGCAAGGAGGCCACTTCTCTAGTTCTCATCTTGCTCAGTAGGGTCAGTTGAACAGAGCTGATTCTATTGCATTTGTCTTCCACTCATCACCCAAGTTATCCAAAAGTCCTCCACGAGCCTTTTCTTGTGCACAAGCTAAAGCTGCAGATGCAGCTCAGTGCACAGGGCTATGTTGCCTCACTAGCCACGCTGCTGCTGACTGCCCAAGGCACACACTGTGAACTCCCATCTCCCGAGCAGGCTCTGGCTCTTCCCCATCCCCAAGTCTGCCCCTGCATCTTCCTTGTTCTGGAACACCTGCCATCACTCCTCCATGTAGTTCTTAACTTCCCCTGCATTCCTAACTCAACTATTGCCTCCCTAGCAAAGTCTTCCTCTATTCTCCAGGTTGAAGGTGCTCCCTCCTGGGGGTCTGGATTGCCCTGTTCATGTCACTTGGCTGTGTTCATGGTGCCTGGGGACAGTGGGAGGCTCATCCCCACCCAGTGAGGTGGCTTTGAATCTTACTCATTTTGCCTCTCAGAGGGCCTGGCACCCTATGGCTACTCGAGAGATACATGTTGGATGCATGAATGTGCTCCAAGGCCGTGAAGTATGGGGGTTCACTAATTGTAGGAGGACAGGTGAGGAAGATGTATTTAAGTGTGTATCTGACCCCGCCCTCCCCTGGAGCCCGGACTGTGAGTTCGGAGGAGAGAGACAGGTATGGAGGCTTTTGTGATTCCTAGATGCTTCTGACCTGGCCCCCAGGGGAGGTGGGTCCTGGAAGCTGGCTGAGTTAATCTTAGTAAACGTCGTGATGTCATCTCAGGAATGTAGCCAAAGTTCCTTCGATGGTGTGGCCGTGAGGAGTCATAGCACTGGCCGCCACAGCCGGACGCAGGAGGACCGGCAGGTGTGAGGCTTGCTGGCGTGTTCCCTGCTCAAGCAGCTGCTTTCTGTCCTGACGCTGGAGACACACCGGGGACTGTGGATTCGGGACATCCCTGCCTCGATAGCAACAGGTCAGAGCTTTGTGCAAGAGGATTCCGGAGGCAGGTGGGCTGGGTTCTAGAGAGCAGGTGTGTGGCTCACCTGTTGAGGAGAGTGGGTGTAGTATGGGTGAGTGTCCTAAGAGTACCACTGTGGCCCCAAAGGGGTTTAGCACCCTAAACTTAAAGCCTGACTTTGAGCTTATTCTCCTTAAGACATGGGACTCAGTCCAGTGCGTCAGTTGTGTGACCTTGGAGAATGACTTTACCTCTCTGGGGTTCATTACCCTCTGACTTCCAGGAAATGGGGCTCATGTTGCCCACCTCCTAAGATCATAGGGAAGATGAAATGGAGTAATGGGCATTTGGCTTCCTGCCGCGGGTCAGGTCAGCTCCATCACCAGTGGGCACAGGGAGGATAACCAAGCAGACGGGACCACCATGCCCCCTGAGAACAGGGACCACCATGCCCCCTGAGAACAGGGGCCTTGCTGTGGCAGGAAGTGGGGGGTGGCAAGTCACAGGTATCAGAGCTTCTGGAAAGCCCACAGGGTTGTAGGACTGGAGCAGTGCTAGGGGCACGTCTGTTCGTTCTAGAGAGGTTTGCTCAGCAAGGGGTGGTAGAAAGTCAAGGCAGGGATCCCTGTGTTGTCTGTAGCGTCAGCTGAGCAAGAACATGCAGCCCACAACAGGGAGAGCAGGGTGGCGGATTCTGAGTGGTACCGTGACTTCAGTCTTCTGCTTGTGGCAGCATCTGTCTGATTCTGCTTTTGCAAAGACTTAAACATATGCTCTTGGGGGAATAACACAAAGATTGCCATGCCTCAAAGAGTCTGTTAAAAATTTAGATTTATTTGAAAGGCAAACACACACACACATACACACTAAGGGAGAGAAAGAGAGATCTTCCACCTGCTGATTTACTCTCTAAATTTCCTGCAACAGCTAGGGCTGCACGAAGCCAAAGCCAGATGCTTGGGACCCAGTCTGCATCTGTCACGGGGCTGGCAGGACCCAAGGAGCTGATCCATCACTTGCTGCTTCCCAGAATGTATGTTAGCAGGACATTGGAATCAGAGGTGGAGCTGGGACTCAAACCCAGGGACTCTGACATGGGATGAGAGTATCTGAACGCTGGCCCAAACACCCACCTGGAGTCTTCACTTTCTCCTCCCTGTTGACTTCAGTCCATTCCTTACCCAAGGAGGAGTGAGGGGGGATGGTGGGCAGATGGACTCAGCTCCTGTGCCCGGAAAGCCCTGCCATTGTGAAGTGACAGAGCCATGACCTGAAGCTCTGTGGCATGAAGACTCTGGGTTAAGTTTGTTAGGGGGTCACGCAGAGCTCAGGGAGGGCCTGGCAGAAGGAGCAGGAGTGCAGAAGTTTCTCAGGGGAGTGTCCTTCCTGCTGTGGCATATCCCAGATGAGGCATTATTTCTTCTCCCAGATTCTCCATCCCTGTACCCCCAGATTTGCCCCCCACCCCACCCCAGGCTGGGACCCAGTTGCCATGCCGGACACCCCCGTGGAGGAATCCCTCTTCCAGATCATCCACTGCTACCACCAGTATGCAGCTCGGGAGGGCGACGTGGAGACCTTGTCCCTAGAGGAGCTGAAGGCCCTGCTCATGGACAACGTGCCCCGCTTCATGGAGGCCTTGGTGCGCAGGGTCTGGGCTGCAGTGGGGACCAAGAGGGTCAGGGCTCCGGATGGAGGCTGGGGTTGGGGTTGGACATGAGTGTGAGGGTGTTGGGTAGAGGAGCTGGGGCTGTGGGGCTCTCTGGTGGAGGCAAGGAGAGGGCAAAAAATGGAAACAGGTGTAGGAAGCAGAACCTGTCCCAGCCCAGGTGTATTTCCTGCCCTCTCTTTCTCCTAAAACTCCCTCCCTGGTGCCTTGGAATCCCACACCTGCCTGTTCTTCTGTCCTCCCCGCCTCCTGGCCCCTCCCACCCGAGATGTACTCACATACCTCAACCTGCCCATACAGTGTCTGGTGTCTTAGAGGTGGACTATATGCCTGAGCTGCGGTTTCCTGCACGGTCCTTCCAAATAGGGCTGTGCTGGAGACCCTGTCGATGGACTGCCTGCCTGGCCTGTGACTGACACTCTGCCCCTTTTGCAGGGCCGGAAGGAGCCCTACTACATCGCGGAGTTGTTCCGGGCTGCAGACAAGAACAAAGACAACCAGATCTGCTTTGAGGAGTTCCTGTATGTCTTGGGCAAGCTGGTGAAGGACTACCACCTGCAGTACCACCGGCAGCTGTGCGCCCACTACTGTGCCCAGCACAACCTCTATTAGAAGGAGGGACGGCAGCTCCTGGACTTGTGGCCAGGGTTCCTTGTGGCCATCATGACCTCCCTCTGGAGTGCATGGGACCTGGAAATAGACAACCCTGCAGTGTGTGTCTTTGCTTGAGTGTGTCTATACATGTACGTGGGAGGGACAGCTTTGGGAAAGAAAATAATGCAATTTCATAAATATTTCTGGGTAGCAAGCAGCTCATGGTTTTGGGTAACGCCTAAGAACTCAGACAGGGAAGGTTTGGTCTCCCAACCCGGGGAAACTATTTTGGATGGGAAGTCCCTGACGGCAGGATACAGTCCTTGGTTCCAGAAATGGGAGACACAGTCCCTGCCTTAGGTCTTCAGTCTAGGAAGGAGGCCTCCAGTTATGGGGAGGTGACCCTGCAGGAAGCCATGCCTCCCAGTGGTCGCTGCATCCTCACTCATCCTGCACACGTAATAGGCTGGGAGCCACGGCGACAGGGAGGAGCTGGATGTGGGCCTGGGCCCCATTTCCAGAAGTGTCCCTGTTCTGGAGGAGAGTGCATGCAAACCCCAAGATGGGGTGAGCCTGGGCTGGGCAGGTCTGGGCAGGGCTGGCATGGGAAGGGCCTGCATTTCAGCAGTGGGAAGTTTGCTGTCCATGGAAAGAAGAGAATGAAATCAGTTTGATGGATGGGCTGGCACTAGGGTCTAGATGTTTTAGGAATTTTAAAAATGAAATTTTAAATAAACTTTAAAATTTTATTTAAAAAAGAACTTTAAAAGAAATGAACTTTAGAAATTTAAAAATGACATGAGATCCTGCATGGCTGTTCCAGCAGTGTGTGTGTGCATACATGTGTACATATGTTTGTGTGCCCTGCTCTGTTCTCAGGTGCAAATAGGGCTGCACATGAGCCAGAGTAGAGGCTGGAGACCCGCTGGGAGGCCCAGGCTCTGGTAGGGCAGGGGTTGTGAGGATTGTGGTTGCATGCAGAGATGGAGAGGAGGGAACAGACTCAGGAGAGAGGGTGTTGATAGAGGCAGGTCGGGTGCAGCACCAGGCTGGAGCTTCAGGCCTTGAAGACTGGGGGATGATGGTGCTGGTAGCTGGCTGGCTGGTGCTAGGGCGGGGATCCAGCCTGCCAGGGGAGATGGTGTGCTGAGCTCTGAGTCAGAGGCCGAGACAGGGGTCAAGCTGACCATCCAGTTTGGCAGAGATGGACACCTGACAGACACCTGTCCCTGGAAAGAGTGATGAGTGGAACCTGGGAGCTGACCAACCAGGGAGTGCTTGCCGGAGGAGAGAAGGGCTGGGTCTGCTCTTCACTAATAAAGCACGGTGATGGATGCCGATGCCACTCCTGACTCAGAGTGGCTCATGACTCGCCCATCCTGTAGTGCCTGGCCCTCCCTCTCCATCCCTGTGGGAGCCCAGCCACCCGACATGCACCTGTTCTCAGGCACTGCCAGAGCCCACCTTGGCAGGCCGTGTCTTGGGAGCATGGGTGTGGGAACCACTGTCTGATGTTTTGTGTTAGAAATGATGAGCTGTGAAAGAATGACACAATCATGCCCATGGGTCACTGTAGGAAGACACTCCTAGCCTGTTGGAGGAACAAACACAGGGAATTGGGCTCCCTTGCCTGGATCCATGCTTCCGCCACTGGGGCTCCCCAGTCACATCTAGAGGCCCCTCTTTCTCCAGGTCCCTGGGGAGGAGCATTCCTGTAGGTCTCCCCCGGGGAATGTTGGGATGCACAGGCCCCTGAGGACGGATCTGAGGAGCCCAGGCTGATTCCTCCTTGTCTTGCTCCTGCTCCTTCTTGGGGATTTCTTCACCAGTCTTGCTACCCTGCCCTCATTTCCTCAGCCTTGGGGATGGGTCAGCTCACCTCTGTTGGGACACACAGTCCTTTCCTGTAAGCTTGCCTATGTCCTGTTCCCCCTCGTGTTGCCCAATGTCTGTCAGGCTGATTGCTACCTTTGCTCTGATGTGCTTCTCCATATGCTGGAGCCCCCAAGGCTCTGTCCACGCGGGGGCTCTTGAGGGTGATGTTTCCTGGTCTCACGTGATACTGGAAGGAAGATATCACTCATGATGCCCCATGGGTCTTCCTTGCTGGAGAAGGCCCTGGGATGACTCCCCATGCCTCAGTCTCCCTACATGTCATACAGGGATAATTGTACCTGTGGTCATTGTTTTGCAAGGTGCTGGGAGTATCGGAGTAGTCAGTGGCTGCACAGACACTCCCAAAATGTGATGCATTGCTTTGGGGTCAGGTGCTGCTACAGTGGGCAGTGTCTGCTGAATGAGAGATGAAGGAAGGGCTGGGAGTCGGATTAAAACCTGTCCTGTTTCAGAAACAATTCCATTTTCATGACTAGAGGATGATTCACTTCTTGTCAAGGAAGTTAGACTGCATTTGATTGATGAGTTTTTGCCCTGCCTCCTTAAAAAATGACTTCATGTGCCTGGAAGTGTCCAAGGGAATTCCTGAACTAGATGAGGAAAAGGCTGAAAGTTCAAGTTTGCATTCATTTATTCACTCAGAAGATACTAATTGAGCACCTATTAGGTGCCAGGCCCTAGGGTGTGAATATAATCCCATATTTTCTTTTCTAAAGAGGCTCTTTTGAAGTACAGGCGATAAAAAGATACATCACAATACAAATGGTATTCAAACACTCTTGGGAAATGCCCTTTACGGAAAGCTGCATAGATTTCAAAATTATTGTCCATCAAAAATGATTCACACAAACATAACCACCTGTCCAAAAAAGATTTGGTTGGAGGCTCTAAGAAGTGCAATGCATCAGTTTGGGGTCTGGAATGTGGCCTAGTGGCTAACGTCCTTGCTTTGCATACACTGGGACTCTGTATGGGTGCTCAATCATGTCCTGGTTGCTCCACTTCCTATCCAGCTCCCTGATTGTGGCCTGGGAAAGCAGTAAAGAATTACCCTAGGAGGCCCGGCGCAGTGGCGCAGTGGTTAAGGTCCTCGCCTTGCACGCCCGGGATCCCATATGGGCGCCGGTTCTATCCCGGCGGCCCCGCTTCCCATCCAGCTCCCTGCCTGTGGCCTGGGAAAGCAGTCGAGGACGGCCCAAAGCTTTGGGACCCTGCACCCGCGTGGGAGACCCGGAAGAGGCTCCTGGCTCTGGACCGGCATAGTATCAGCCGTTGCGCTCACTTGGGGAATCATCGGACGGAAGATCTTCCTCTCTGCCTCTCCTCTCTGTATATCCGCCTTTCCAATAAAAAAAATAATAAAAATAAATCTTAAAAAAAAAAAAAAAAGAATTACCCTAGGCCCCGGACCCTGCACTCAGGTGAGAAACCTGGAAGAAGCTCTTGGCTCCTGGCTTCAGATCTGTTCAGCTCCAGCTTTTTTGGCTGCTTGGGGAGTGAACCAGTGGATAGAATATCTTTCTCTCTGTAATCTTTATTTACTTTTATTACAAAGTCAGATATACAGAGAGGAGGAGAGACAGAGAGGAAGATCTTCCATCCAATGATTTACTCCCCACGTGAGCGTGACGGCCGGTGCTGTGCCGATCCACAGCCAGGAGCCAGGAACTTCTTCCAGGTCTCTCACATGGGTGCAGGGTCCCAAAGCTTTGGGCCGTCCTCCACTGCTTTCCTGGGCCACAAGCAGGGAGCTGGGAGGGAAGTGGAGCTGTTGGGATTAGAACCGGCGCCCATATGGGATCCCGGTGTGTTCAAGGTGAGGACTTTAGGTACTAAGCCACACCACTGGGCCCTTTCTCTGTTATCTCCTCTCTGTAATTCTTACTTTCCAATAAAAGAAAAAAATTGAAAATATTTTAAGAAGACATTAGTTTGGAAAGAGCCCCTATCAGAGTAGCATGAATTCTGCTAAACATGAATCAAGCAAGAATAAACATTCCATCTTTATGGTGACATTGGGTGGAAGCAGGGTTAAACCACTGATGCATTGTGGTTGGTGCTGTGGGTTAAGCCCCTGTCTATGATGCTGGCATCCTACCTGGGTACCAGGCTGAGTCCTGGATGCTTCACTCCCTGCGAGTGTGTCTGGAAAAGCAGTGGAGGACACCATGCAGGAGACTCGGGTGAAGATGGAAGAGCTCTCTCTCTCTCTGTAAAAATCCGCTTCTCAAATAAGCAAATCCTGTAACAAAACACTGATGCTTTATGAAAATCTGTGCGGACAAAGCCCCAGAGAAATTATCAGCTTACAAAGAGGTAACTCATTATGATGGGGGAGATGGGCTGAAGTTGAAGATGAGTTCTCAGTGGTAGACCATCCAACTCAATGTGCAAGGAAAGCAGTTCATCGTGTACACACCCCAGGTGAGGCAGACTCACGATCACAAGCAGTAACACCAATCAACACTATCAACACTTCGGTGGGCTCAGCTTAGAAATTCAAGCGGGAGTGAAGTTTTTGCTCATGGGTGCCCAGTGTGTTGTGTCCGGATCAGCTGCAGAAAACAGCAAAGCTCGCAGATGGGAATTTTAGACAAGTGTGAGCGGAGCAAGCTTTATTAGAGATATGAAAGACAGAAGCTTTCTGTTGTGGCATCAGGAAGGGGGGCTCCAAGGGAGGAAAGACCCCAAAGCACTCCTTTGAAGAACTGCCTGGTTTGAATCCCAACTTTACTTCTGATCCTGCTTCCTACTAACGAGCCTGAGAAGGCAGCAGATAGCCGCTCAGCTGCTTGAGTGTCTGTCACCCACATGGAAGACCCCGATGGCGTTCCTAGTTCCCAGCATTAGGCTGGCCCAGCACCGCCTGTTGTGGCCATTTGGAGGCATGAACTGGTGAATGGGAGATCCCCCTTTAATGTGTCAGGCAGGAGTGAGTTGAGATACGTATCTGCCGAAAGCATGAAGAAAGGCAGGAAGAGGGAACTGCTCGGAGGAGTCATGTTCTTGTAAGGTCATGCTCCAGGTCCGAATGTTCTTGGATCCTATCTGGATCCAACACATCCATATTGGGAAACTCTGGGCAAATTGTTTCTAGAACATTCTTTGTCTTCGTGTCCTTG